ATACGAAACGAGCGTAGTTTCCGGTACACTTCACTGGCACGGACGGCTGGGCAGGAAAATGTGGGAAGTAATTGGTTGGACGGCTGTGACGCTTTTTATGTTTTAGGCTTTCCAACATCTCACGCAGAATTATCCAGTCCCGATCCGACGACACGCAAAAAAGAACGACCATTCAGGGGTTATCCTTTCTTTCTGGACCAAACTGAACTTGAACTTGAAGCCATTCCATTTTCCTGACTAACTAACATCTTCATTCCTGGATTTTATTTTCTCTACTTTCAAGTTCAAGTGGGACCGCTGGATAAATCCCACTGAATATTTTCTCCGTGTCGAGTTTTGTGCAGCTTCAGTAAGTGACCTCGGAGCCAAGGTAGCCGTGCCGGTTGGCAAAACCCAGACAAATCGGGTCCGCTTTTACCGGTAAGCATGCGATAGGTCAAGACTAGGTCGCCTCGATGTTGACGATAATGCATTGAGAACATTCACAGCGCAAGTAGCCTTTCTGTGTAAGAATGGTTCCGATTCTTTCTTCGGAACCTATCCTGTCCTCCAAGACTTCAACATATTTCAACGTATATTCTTCGAGGCTTCACGTGGTTCTGCAGAGGATCAACACATCATATCCAGAAAGAATGCTTGGTTCCTGTCCTACCGATCTGGAACAGGAGAGGACCCAGGCACGCAATGGCCACTCGCATAGCGAATCAGTCAGCAGAAAAATGGGACGCAACTTGACTGCGAATAACGGAGCAAAAGAACGTTCAACAAGAAACATAGCCAGTTACAACTTGCCATTCAATGGATTGCTGGCAGTGTTTCAGGACGTGGTGGGTGTTCGCCTGGCAAGCTTTCTCCCTATAAAAAGCCACAAATGTCCGTTTAACAACACTGCAACGTGGCGAATGTGACTCGCCACCGAATAAAGTCACAGCCCATAACTTCACACTGGCAGCTCAATTAGGATCATCATACTGGATGGCTTGCTCTTCAATTATCTTCCAATGGATCACTCAGGATTCTTTATATATTATTACACGAGGTATGATTGCGATATATGGCAGAGCGATTATGTCCAAACAAATGGATCCCGATCCCACTACAACCAAATCGTTCTTTCGCATGTTCACCATCGCACAGTTCCAAGCATGGACATATGAACAATGTTCTACTGTCACTACAGTTCCCATAAAATGTCTGTACAGATGTACATACCTGATCATGCCTCAATTGGCGTGCCTCGCATAGTCGAGAATAACTAAATATTTAATATTTATTTATATTTAGTCAATGGACCAGTTTGGTTTCAACTCTCAACACGCTCTCCACTGACAGCCGGTCTCTGACTAAGCAAGGTGGGCAAGCCTGGATGGAGTATTCCAATTGTAGCCTGACAAATGCTGAGAATGACCTAACAAACACAGCGCGCGTGATGGTCCCGGATGCCCTGCGGATCATCCACAACCTTCTGAAGCCCTTGCAAGTAACCTTCCTCCAGTTCTCACTGGATTTAAGTTCTGCAGACGACGTGAGGTCTAGGTCTACCAATTAGGAAACATGGTGCACATCATTACCGCCAAGCGAATAACGCGTTTGGGAGCTATTCGGCCCTATTCGTAAGATGGAACACTTTGCGTAATTCATGGACAACTGCCACGGAGCAGCCCAGTCTCAAATTTTATCGATGGCCAGTTGCATAGCCTGGGGTATAACGAAGTCAGACACTATGTGCCAACACTTTAAATCACCTGCAAACATGAGAGATGGTACCTCCAGCCGTTGGGCAGCTCGTTGACCTACAAGGGAAATAATAGCGGCCCAAGCACCGAGCCCTGAGGGACCCCACTGAGGACTGTCTGACGGAGACAGACTAGACCCCACACGAACACATATGTCTCTCCGTTCCAGAAACGTGTTGCTCCCTTTTTAGTGCACGCTAGGATATTCCATAGGACAGATATTTCAAGGAAAGTCGAGTAGGTGATAAGTGTCGAACGTATTGGAGAAGTCAATACACACAACATCTATTGCACGACCCCGATTCAAAGCATCCGGCCAACATTCGCATGTAACTAGCAAATTAGTCATACAGGAAGGACCCTTGTGAAAGCCTTGTTGCAGTGGACTGGGTAGACCAAACTCCTTCAGGTGGTCTTCAAGCACATCTCTGACCAACTTCTCCAATAACGTGACCAGTACTTTTGTTAAACTTACCGGCCTATACTTAGCAGGGAGATGCTGGTCGCCCTTTTTAAAAATCGGGCGCAGGATAGCATCCTTCCAGTCCTTAGGAAAGGAGCAGCTGCGAAGCGACATTTGAAACAAACGCGTCACTGGGCCACATAGCTCGCTTGCGAGTTCGTACAGAAGCTTAGGGTGAATAACATCCATCCAAGTGGATTTAGCATGATGTAGCCCCTGAAGAAGATGGAGAACATTTACTTCTGAAATTGTAACGTGTGTTAAACAGGACTCCTGGGGGACTCGCATTTCTATGTCAAGATGCGGCAATTGCTCATCCCGAACAAAAGTTCCGGCATACTGCGCACTGTGTAGACATTCTTTCTCGTGATCAGTGGTGGCGGTGGCGCCGTCGCTGCCTAATAATACTGGGATAGATGTTCCAACGTTACCAGGCTTTTGGACGTAGGCGAAGAATCTCTTGGGATTCGCGGAGGCTGAGTTAGCCCGCTGCGTCTCTTACCTAAGTCTAGCAGCTCTCAAATGACGCTTGCAAGCATTCCGAGCTTCACGATAACACCGAAAATTACATTCCGAGAGAACCGTCCGGCAGATCCGCCAGCATATTGCACGTCTATTCATTAGCTGGTGTGCGACTGTGTCCAACCATGGTGGTTTCGCTTTGGCACACTTCTTTACCGAAAGAGGGATGTGGTTTGGGGTATGTTAAAGAGGAAGGGCTTAAACGTATTTCAAGCCATCTGTATATCATCAACAGGCAAGAAGATGTATGGGAAACTTATTGCCTTGGCTTTATTTGACGGAAAGTCGGCGGGCCGAATGTTCAGAGTCCGGACCCTGCGTGAATCGTAGTCTCTAATGAGAGCACAATGACAAACACGTATGGTCACGGGCTACCAAAGGGGTCCGTACCCAAGGTCATTCACAAAGTCAACCGCCTTTGCGAAAACCAGGTTCAACAAAGAAGGTGCAGGACCCACAATTTACCTGGTGTCTCGATCGAAAAATTGGTGTAAGGGTACTTCCATGGTCAAGGCAACAAGCTCGGATGCCAACCCTGCTGTCGCTGTCTCATAAGATAAGTCAAGCCAAGTTATTTCAGGGACGTTGAACTCCCCCGTAATCAAGCATCTGTTCGCAGAGTGAGTGCGGATGAAGTCAAGGGAACTCCTAGTAGCGCTATCAGGGCTCATATACAGCAGCACTATTTTAAATTGCGTCGATTCGGTGCAGACTTCGACTGCAAGGGCTGCAAAAGTTTTATCAGCTGTGTTAAGGGTATGTGGTTTTGATATGTTTTCACCACACCTGGCATACAAGGCGACTCAACCCCCGCTGGGATAAGATGGGCGGTCGGATATTAGTATTGCGTAGCACGGAACGTTTGAGTAACTGTCCATGACGTCAGAAGACAACCAGGTTTCAGTGAATGCGAGTACACCAGGATGGGATTATTTTATTAGGGCCCCTACTTCACACCACTTGTTTCGCAGGCCACGCGCCTCACCAAGCACTATGTGAAAACGGGTGGTATGGAGAGCCCCGAGTCGTGTGCCACCAGAATAGGCTCTGGTGGGGCGGTAGTGGACAGTCGACTCACCACCCGCAAACCCACCAAACCTTACTCTTTCTCGCCAGCTTCGCGACGCGCTTTAAGGTTTTTGGTGGCTTAATTAAGCTTTATCCTATCTGCTAACGTTAGGTCCGGCTGTATACTCACTCGAAACCATTTGCTTTAAAGGCGAAGCGAAAAGATCTTGGCGCTCCTCCGGTGGATACTGAACCACCCGTAATAGACGGGGTCTAGGTTCAGTACTATCACCCGATAAGTTTCCAAACCTGGTACCTTTTATAACAGTAACCCCAGGAAGCCCGAGTGGAAGTAGTTTAGAAACGCAAAGTTTGTACCAATGAAGGTCGTCAAGCATGCGATCTTTCGGAAGAGACGCAGAGGACTCCGAGATATTCCTTAACATAACGCTGCTTTCTATAAATGCATCATTAGGATGAGGGGTGTTAAAGGCCCGCGTCACCGTAGCAGTGGCTGGCGCAGCGCTTGATTTCACACCCTCCTTAGTAGGAACAGGGGAAGCAGTAGGTGTAGAGGAGGAGGATTCCGGCAATGAAGTGGAAGAGTTTTCTGCTTTCGTTTCCGGGGACGGAATATCGACAGAGCCCACCGTTACATCTTTTAGTTGGGTTTGGCTGTACAGCTGGATTTCTGTATCTTGCGTCGCTTTGCCTTCGGAGATACACTGGTCTGTAGAACTTCCCCACTTAAAACTAAGTTCGGTATAACGTCAGGATGTCTACCAGCCTCAGGCAACGCCTCAAGAGTTGGTGAAACCTTCAAAGCCATACTATTTATGCAATCGCTGAACGCACGCTTGTTCTGAGAAGGCCTGCACCTTCAACGCTTACGAAGGTTTGATCAACCTTCCCCTCAAAAGAACTAAAAAAAGATAGAAGAGTACACACACTCTATTCACCCAAGTTTTAAATTCGTCCTTTGGGACTAGACGATATGCTTCGTGCTTCACAAAACCAGGGCAATTATAAGGTAAAATATCGCTGCTTTGTAGGGGGATATACTGCTGCCCATTCACCCCAGTGCCAGCCTCATGGAACCAAGAACTGCAGTGGTCACATTGCATGCCACCAGTAGAACCAGTAACTGGTTCCGAGCAACTCGCTTTACCACAAACAGCTGACGAATCGGTTAATGAGTCCGAGAGCGACTTGGAACCGGATATATTTACCATAACGAGATGATAAACTTTAACAGATAATAGGAACGTGAACCGGGGTACGATAGGCTTCAATGCAGACAACGTAAGCAGCAGACAGATAAAACCCGGAGAGAAGCGTTTGCACAGATTTGGACTCCCCAGAACCATAAAAGTAGCAACGGAGAACAAAACAGGCCTTTCTGTAAAATACCCTCCAAAAGCTGTTTTCCGACGGAGCTGGGAGCCTGCAGGAACAAGGAATAGATCAGCTTCGTGCGGTCGAATATCAACCCGATTTGCGCCTGATCGATGAGATGTGGACAAAATCCGGAGTATTTTGCGTGGAAGTCTACAAACCGAGGCCAATATTTCGATGAGAAAACCACGAAGGTAAACAATTTAGGAGCTTCAAACGCTGGTACACTGGACAGTTTGTGCTCAAAGTCATTCAAAACTGTTTCCACAAAAGGCTTCCTAGAAGGAAAACGCAAGCGGAGAAACACGACAACCACGATGTGACAAAGGTAGGCACACAAGAAATTCCGCGTATGCTGGCACTTCTAAGTACTTTCGGAAAATATAAAACTGACAAAGCCACAATTTTATGTGGCGATACTCAACTACTGTTCTCAAACAAGGATTTCAGTAAAGAAAACCACGGTCTGATAGGATTAGGACGGAAACTCGTCTATCGCGCCGAGTTATAGATCGCTGGAATTCGCTGCCAGATCACGTGGTTAGGGAACCTACGGTAAAGGTTTTTGCTCGCCAGCTCGATGCTCTTGGATGGCAACAGCAAACCTTTCCTTTTTCCTAGATGAAGCACCTTCACTTTTCAGTTCCTTTTTTATGACTCAAATATCTTTGTATTCCACTTGCTTAGCTCTTACCACTTTCTTTTTTGCCTCCTGAGTTTACTTTGTTCTCTTTCTTACTTCACGTAACCGACCCAGCAGGGACTGCTAGGGCAGGATATGTGGGCATTAATTGGTTGGACAGGGTGTGATGCGGTCTTTGTTTTAGGTCCATCAGAATTTCAAAGTTCGCCAACTCCTGGTTCAACGACCCGCCGCAGAAGGAACACTCACGGGATCATCCTATCGTTCCAGTCCCGCTTGAACTTGAGCTTGAAAATCTCGAGCGGTAAAACACGCAAGTTCGCAGTGATTTGAACCATGTTGGCATTGGTATTATGTTCTTATTTCAACTACGCGTTCTTATACTGTACCTCTGATTGCGCTTCCTGTCCTATGTTTACTTCACTTAACTGCCACAGAACGGACAGCTAGGACAGAGAACATGGGCATTAACTGGTTGGCCAGGGTGCGATAAGGAGTGTCCGTTTTAATTATATCGTTAACTAATCAATTCCCGGCTCCATAAACCACTCAAGGTAGAACACTCATAGGATTCTCTTATCGTTCCAGTCCCAATCGAATTTGCACTTGAACTTGGTTGCTATTGGCAGTGGCCTTGAGACTTCCTTGCCTTTCCGTGATTCTCTCGCGTGACGTCCGCCGTTGTCCGCAGATGAAGTTTAACAAACATGTTAGCAGCTCACGTCGGAAAGCACGTAAGCGTCATTTTAATGCTCCGTCACACATACGGCGTCGCCTTATGAGCGCTCCATTATCAAAGGAGCTGCGGACGAAGTATAAGGTCCGGAGCATGCCTATCCGCAGAGGTGATGAGGTTCAGATTGTCCGAGGTGAGCGGAAGGAGGCTACATCTGCTAAGGTCACCCGAGTATATCGGAAGAAGTTTGTAATTCACCTCGAGCGTCTTCAGTGCCGAAAGGGTAGTGGTGCGTATGTGCCGATCGGTATTCATCCTTCCAACGTAAGTCCTTCCTACTGTTTTTAACGTGTCCTGCAGGTTGTCATACACAAATTGAAGTTGGACAAAGATAGACGCAATTTGCTGGAGCGGAAAGCCGCTGGAAGGTTAGACGAGGACAAGAACAAGTACACTGAAGAAACTATCGAATAGTTGACTTTCAATAAATGATGGTTGTGCTGCTTTGCCTTGTAATCCGCCTTCTTTGTGACAATCGTCGTCATTCTTATGTTATAAGTTTGCTTTCGAACCGTTTTACCACATTTACTGGTGTCCGAACTCCCTTAATACGTTTCGCTGCCGTACAACTACCAAGTCGCGCGTGGACAGCGAGTAGTGCAAGGGTCACCGGTTCCCCTAAGCAAGCTCTACTCTGCGCCCTCGTATTACAGTACCGGTAATGGGACGACCTGAATACTCCCAGCTTTAATCGGTATAATATTTAAGTTCAGCTCGACTGGATGATAGTAGGATACCGGGTGTTCCTTCCTAAGCTGGTCGTAGAACCAGCTGATGGTTTTGGAATGTAGATATTCCTAAAACAAAGACCGCATCATACAATGACCAGCCCATTACTGCGCACTTATTCTGCACTGACTCCCTGCTCGGCTGGTTACACGAAGTAAGGAATAGTAAATTTGGAAGGCAAGTAGAGGAGCGTAGCCAAATGACCATACTAGGATGTGATGTAGCTATGTAGCTAAGCTGATGATGAGTCAGTTTGGAGAAGGAATAGGTTTGGTGTTGCCACCCGAGAGCATCGTGGTGACGCGCAAATAATTAACCTTGGGTTCCACAACCACGTGAACTTGGAGCGCTTTTCAGCGCTTTATAACGGCGCGACAATTTAATTTTCGCTCTAATTCGCTCACACTGCCGTTTGTGCAACTTCAACTGGTGGCCACGGTGAATAGGTAACTTAGCGGGACTAAGTAGTGAAGACAAGTCTGTCAAAATAAGGATGTTGCGGATTATGTCCCTTCTACTACTCTGATGGTGCCCCAAGTGCAATCTCCAAACAATCTTGGCGCTCAGCATACGTCTATCCCCGTTTAGTCCTGCACTAACCTAATGCCCAGTCGGGTAAGACCTGGTGGAGGAGCCTGGATATAGTATTCTACGTGGGGTTGCACGAATGTTGAGAATAACTTCACAGACGTGTCGGCTGTTTTGATAAACAGCTGAGAATAGACCACATCCTACGGAACTCCATAGAAACAGTCTTCCAATTGTCGCAAGAGTGGAGGACTGGTGAGTGAACGATATTTAAATCAAGTTCATGTGGACTAGATCAGTAGGGTAAATTCCTGTGAATGTTCAGTGTCGCGTCCTTGATTCAGCGTATTATTCGTCCTCGATAAATGGAATCTAGGAAAGTCAGATCAGCACGCGAGTATCACACCACGGTCAACCAATTAATACCGACGCGACCTGCATTGGCCGTCCCCGTTGCACCAGTCACGTGAAATAAGAAACAAAAGTACGAAAGTAATAAGGGCGTTAAGAACCAAAAAGCATAGATTTCGTAATTCAATGTGGCGAATAGGCTGATGTGAAGGGAAGGTAAGAACTGAAGTCCAAGGGCGTCAGGACGGCGTTCGAACTCTCAACGTTGGTGCCGATATCTCATTCTCGGGCAGTGTATTCCAGGGATCAACCCAACAACGATGATCAAAGACTTGAAGGCGCCTCAGTCTTCAACGAGGGCAAGTCTCTCCATAAGCAGAACGGCCTCATGTGCCTTGATACACGGCTTCAGACGGAGGAACTCCCTTTTGTGCCAAAGATGTCGCAGTCTGGCCTTTGCAATGCGTGAGCTCACGTCAGTTTCTATGCGCCCATCATTGCTGATGAGCTGCCAAGATAAGTGAATTGATCAACCACCTCGAGTTCCTCGTTAGCAAGCGTCAAGGGGTTATCGAGTGCCTGGTGGTCCTGCAGCAACACTTTGCACTTTGAAGGTGCGAAGTGCATACCAAATAATGGGACCACTCTGGATAAGCTATTCAGGGTTGATTGTGCCGCCTCAACATTGTCGAAAAGCAACACGATATCGTCCGCATAATCTAGATCAACTAACCGTTCACCAGGCAGCACTTCAACACCTACCTCGTGAGATTCCTCAAGGGAACATTCCATGATAGAATCCACGACGAAATTGAACAAAAAACGGGGAAATCGGACAACCCTGTCGAACGCCACTTGTCGAAATATCCGTAGCCATGCCCTGCCTTGACGTGATACATGAAAGTCCGTGCGGACTCCGCCGATCGGGGTTTGTGGAGCTTTATCGATTGACATTGGAGAGATGGGAGTCGAGCCGGTTGGAAAAGCCCAGGTAAGTCGTCTGATTTTACCGGTAACTATGCCATAGGTCAAGATCAGATTGCCTCGCACCTGCTGAGTGGCAACAGGGATTTCACCACCGCCGTCAACAAATCATGTGGGATGAATAACAGCTCCCATTCGGAGAGTCAAACATTTGGCCTGATTTATGAGCATCAATCGTAAGATAGACCATTACAAGGGGCTATCCAAGACACTCTTAATGGCCTAAGAATCCCCAGGGTTATATCCCCGATATTCCAGATTCATTGATAGTAGAGAGCAGGAGGGAGATCCATTGTCAGCTCCATCGGTTCCCGATCATTGCTGGGAGGCTCGTCATTGTGCAACGGAAACTCCGGAGAGGCCGTCGCACTCGTAGCTGAAGCAACGCGATCCTCGCATATTCAACAGGTGGAAATCAAGTGGTCGTTTGAAGCAGTCCTCCGTCTGCGCATCAGCGACGGGCGGCGGTAACCGGTTCCAGTTATTCACAACGCGAGTGGATAGAGCAAGAATGGACTGTATTTTGAGCCTCCGTGGTTTGACTATTTTCCACCAGTGGCCTCCGGTCGAACTCCCAACGTTGAGATGGAAGAATTCCTGCAACTCCCTAGCTCTCCCCTGAGGATACGTCGGGTAAAAATCAAATCCCCGTGACGGCGACGGTAATCCATGGAAAACAGATTCATATGTCGAAGCCGAAGGGGATAAGGCAAGTCACGTAACTCAGAGACGAACTTCGATCCACGCCGTTAGACCTTTTCAGTCATGTCACGCTCAAATTTGGTAAGCGGGTAGGTGAACAGGAGTCTAAAAATCTCCGGCGTCAGGCGGCAGAAGGCTCTTCGAGTGGCGTGAAAAATCCTGTAGGCAGCGGCAACCCTCTTCACGGTGTCATGAGTGGATCTTAAGTCTGGGGAAACAATCACTCCAATATCTCTCTGAAGTGACATTTTTGCGCAGACTACCTATGTGGTAAGCACAGAATCACTCAGGAGCGCCAATAGGCGAGACGGAACATTTGTCTTGATTAATGGGTAAGCGCGACTGAATCGACCAATTTTTCAGATCGAGCGTCTCTTGTAGTCGATCAGCATCCTTTAGAGAGGATACCTCTTTCTATATCTTTAGATCATCTCATAAATCAAGCAATCCGATGGAAGCTCAGACGGCAGATCGTTGATGAATATATTGAGAAGTGCAGGGCCGAGGACGGAGCCTTGTAGGACACCACTTACCATATGTACAGCATCGGAATACGTTTCGTTCATTCGCACCAGCATAGAACGACTGTTTGATAGAAATCGCAAATCCAAGAGAAAGTTTCCAGTGACGCCGGTTCCTCGGAGTTTGAAGAGAAGCTGTTCATGCGGGACCTTATCAAAAGCCTTACTGAAATCCACAAACACAACATCCAGGCGCTGGCCAACATCCAATAAATTTGACCATTTTTCTGTAGCCATAAGTAAGTTGTAGAGCAGGAGCGAGCTTTGCGAAAGCCGTGCTAGGCAACGGATATCAAACCTAACCTCGAGATGAAGCCCAAGTGCCCGTTTCAGGACCCGTCCCATGGTTTTACACACTATCGATGTACGGTAAATGGGCCGGTAGCTAGCTGGATCTATCCGGTTACCTTTGTATATGGGCAAGCGGTCTGGAGAAGCCCGGACTGAAACGACCGACAGAAGACCTGCGAGATAGGTGAGGCAATGTACTGGGCCACAGTCTTGAGGAACAAGGGGTGCAAGACGTCAGGACCAGGCGATAAGTAAGAATCCAAACCACAGAGAAGTTTCAACACATCAGTGTTAATATCGACGTGCACTAACAGAGAAGAGGGAGTGCACACAGGACTGTCAAAGAACGATGCTGTTGTCACGTACACTGAAGAATATTGTCGCGCCAGGAGGCTGGCTTCTCGCGGTCTTTGTGAACTGGATTCCCATGCTCAAAGGAACACAGTGCAGGAATATCACTGCCCGCTCTGGTGCCCCGTTTAAGGTAGGAGAAAAGCCTCTTAGCAATTTTCCTAGAGAGTGTGGCTAGGAAGAGTTCATATTGTTGACGTTTCTCACGTATTTTCGTGGTACAGGCATTCCGTACCGTTTTGTAACCGAGGTAGTCATGCTCTGGTAATGTGAGCCAAAAGCAGTCCCACAACCTCCGTCTTTTCTTCGTCAGGGATCTCAATTCGCGATCGATCCATGGAGGACCTCTAGAGAGCGGTGGCTTTTTGGAGGTGGGGTCTTCTTCAATGAGTGACGTCAGCTTGGAGTACTGAAGATTCCATGCAGCGTCAGCGTTGAGATGTTCGAGAATACACCAATCCATAATACATGCAGTCTTTATAAGATGAAGAGCATCGGTACGCCGGAAATTTCGGCGGACGGCACATGGGTTGTGAATGGTAAAGCGATGGGTCCATTGCAGTAAACAGTACAACGATCGCTTCTACCAATGGGTTGAAAGACTGTTAGTTCCATGACGTCTGACTACGCTAGGGAGAGCACAAGATACAGGATATGAGGCGACTGGCCGGTGAAAATACAGATCGGTATGGAGACATGTTGATACAGACTGCAGTTGCGGACGGTATCAAGGAAAGTTGCATCAAAGGAATCAGGTGGACGATTGCAAAGAAGGAGGTCTCAGTCGATATTAGGAGCATTGAAATCTCCCACAGTCAGGCAATCCTTTCCTGCACCGTGCTTCCTGATCAGTTCCAACAGGCGAGCTCCAGCGCCCAGTGGCGCTCTGTAGAGAACGCCAATCAAGGAATATGTGCACCCATCATGAATGCGGCACCAAAGGGCATCGGAATTGTTGTCATTGCCACAAGAGACCTCAACTAGATGGGAATTCAGATCCGCTTTCCAGTAGAGTATTACGCTGCCTCCCGACTTCCCCCCATGACGATTGGCTC